TAAAACTTTTGGAAAAATAGTGGGGGCATACCGTCTGGGCCAGGGGAAGTTGTGGGGAACATTTGAGAAATAGTTGAAGTTGCCTCATCCAAACGAAAAGGCCGCAAAAGTCTCGAATTCATTTCACCAATCACCTTGCGATCCACTTTGTTAGAACTGCCTCCAGGTCTCGGTTATGTCGTCTAATAGATGTAAATAGATTCTTAAAAGTACCCACTGCAACAGACTCCATATCAGCTGAATTTTCGCAATATCCCCCTTGACCATATCTTAACTTCATTATAGTGTTCCGTCTTCTCCTTTGTAAAGCCCATGCATGAAAGAAAGCAGAATTTCTATTGCCCTCTTTTAGCCACTGTATCTTCGATCTTTGCGGCCAACAAGTCTCCTCCATGTCAAGAAGCTCGTTCAATTCTGACTCAAGAATTAGTGACTGTTGCTTGGATGCAATTGTTAAACCTTGCGCCTTCAAACTCGCCAATTGAGATTTTAGAGCTTCAACTTTCTTAGGAATGTGCCCAAAGTGGTCTTGTTTCCAATTAAGTAAACCCACTCTACAATTCTGCAGGTTATTTGAGAACCCTTGACTGCCAAGAGTGCCCCACGCCCTGTTAATGGTATCTTCACAATCCTCCCTACTAGTCCATGCAGCTTCGAACCAAAATCTCCTTTTTTTTAAATCGCTTTGCAATGTTTACGGCTCCTATATTGCTATAAACACTCTTGAATTTGGGAATCTAGCTATCCACTCCACGTTTGCACATACCCTGTCCAATCGTTCCCACACTGTATAGGGAATCATCTAGTTATTACACCAAGTAAAGGGGAACCCTACAAACCTCAAGTCCAACAAAGCACAATTATCCAAAGCATGCCGAAAAGCCTGCATATGCCATTCGGCCCTACTCCGCCTTCCTTTCTTTTTGCTTTGTGAGGTATTCTCATTAAAATCCCCCACAAAAACCCATGGTAAATTAATAACCATGCATAAATGAGCCATCAGAGACCTGGTATCACTCCTTTTGATGTTTTAGGCTCCCCAGAAATCCATGTGAATCTCCACGATCCCAGAGTGTTTGTTTCATTGATCACCACATCGATGTGCCCATGCAAAAAACTCTGCAAAACCACCTTTATTCCTTTTTGCCAAAGCAATGCCAAACCTCTAGAATTCCCGTTTGCCTCAACAGCCACCCCATGCATTCCTAATACCATTTTCAAGAAATTAATCTTCCTAGCATTACACTTCGTCTCCGATAGGAACCCGAAGTCGGGCCTCTCTTTATCCATGAAATCACGAAGATCCAGAATTGTTCGAGGAGGCCCAAGTCCCTGGCAGTTCCAACTAAGAATTTTCATGGCGATCGGTGGGCTTGGAGACCAACACCCACCGTTGAATTTACCATATCAGAGGACAACGAAGAAATCTCATACTCACTAACCTTAGTTCTTTTGTTCGAGAAGACTTCCAAATCCGCCCAATGACTTCTCTAGAAAAACCTTGTGACCGAACTGTAGGCGGTTGAACAGCCACAAGTTGACGCGTGGACCATTGTAGCCATTAAGGAGCGCAAACAACGCCTGGGGGAGACGTCGAAGAGTTATAGCCTAGAGGGCGGAGTACACCCTCAGAGCCTAGTATTAAAAGGATATCTCAGCTCATTAACTAGGGTCATGAGTGGCGGTAAGAATTATTAATGAAAATCCAGGTGTTCAAGGGATATGAATATAGTCAACATTACAAGACATTAATTGTCGTTATGCTAACTTGATGTCCTCAGCAAACCCCGAGGAGACTTAATTTCGAGCAGTGAATGCTTGAACATAGGTGTCAAGCACCAAACAGAGGTAATTAATGATTGGGGATTGGACCATGAATGCACGACTTTGCCTGAGCAAGGGTCTATTCGCCTGAAGAGATTAGTCTTGAACATATTTGATGGAATGACACTCATTGTGCTTAGATACTAGTGCAAGTGAGTTGAGACTCAGATCTTTTAGTCATTATTAGCCCAGAAATAAATACCTCTCAGGAAGCTGAACAAAGGTACGAAAACCTAAATTCAGAAAATACAATGTGCTAATAACTCTCATTCCGACTGACTTGAGTTTCAGAGGAGATTAACCGGGTGTTTACTTAGCCCTTTTCTTAATCTTTTGATTGTTTCAAATTGACCATGTAACACCTCAACCTAGGGTACAATATCTGTAATCCTTGTTTTTTTTTTTTCATACACCTTTCTTTATATAAAAATAAGCATATAATAAAATTCATCAAATCCCTTAGTAGTACGGCTTGTCATGAGCCTGCTTATTTACGGACCGTAATATTGATCTCAAGAATATGATAAATAATAATACAATTTAAATTTAAAGGACATATAAAAATGAACCCCATGATGACATCTCAATTGACCCTCTAGACTCGGAAGTGGACTCCTCACGTCTTTATGATTTTTCCTGAAAAGTCATTAAGACCATTAATAAAAGCAAAGATGCAATTAATATTTAAGAGCACAACAAGTGATAAAAGAAACTTTGTTTATTTAGGAACAACCTTAACTACGAATTAGATACTGACTTTCAAATTACACTTCACCTCATATACATTCGTTTACATCGTATAGACATAACATGTATATATCACATCGACAAAATATACAACACATATATTTACTTCCATATAATTAAATTATTCTTCACAATGAATACTTCACACGCATACAAACTAATCGCCCTAAAAACAACAACCACCACACAGACTATATTTAATTGTGCAAATTCTTGCATAGATATCATTCATTGTTGAGACAACTCAAACCACATTAATGGTTTTTCTTTAGACGACCCACATCACAGAGAGTTTTTGATCACGTTATTTAGACGACTCCACCACATAATCAAATTCCATCACGTAGACGACTCAAGCCATATAAATAATTCATGTTACTTAGACGATTTATCTTACATAATCCTCTCTCGTCACTTAAACGACTCTCATAACACTACCGTATGTCTCTGCTCAATTAATTTATTCACAACAATACCCGTAGCAAAAATATATGTTTAAAAGTCTAATAAATTATCACAAAAAATTGTAGGGTGGTGCACCTACCTTGCGTGATGTCTTAGTCGTAGATGATCCCTCCGCCGGAGCTTTTAGTGCAGCATTTTTAGCGGTGTTCGTCTCCAAACCTGGCATAACCGATATTCACAATTTCATTCATACATGAATACATAATACCGCTTAAGTTCAAGATGGTTTACTCGAACCTAGTTTAATGATTATATCCCTTCGAATTAAATGATTTATTTATATTAAATAACCTTATCTATTCGAATCGATTAAACTATTAGTTTGATAATCAACTCGAGTCAAGTTAAGTAATCAATTCGCATTGAGTAAAATTATATACTCGAATCAAATTTAGTTAATCTTTTTGAATCCGTTTAGAAAATATTTATTCGAATCAATTACACCCAAATTTAACATTTTTCATCAAGTTTTAAACATCACAAAAATATACTTAAATTTGCGTAATTTTCTATTCAAGCATAAAATGACATGTTTACTTGTAATAACTCATATTCATGGATTCATGAAAATTCAAGAATAATTCACAAGATTTCTAAACTACCCACCAAATTACTATGTTAATTTTTCCAAGCAACACCCATGGTACTATGCATTCATAACAAGCATCCCAACAAACCCACATGCAATAATTTTACTCTTCTATTTTTCATGCAATAACATTAACTTAATTTACAAATCCACATAAATATTGAGGTAAATCGTTTATGTATTAACCAAAGTTCTTACTAAGCATTATATTTATAAGATATCATACTTTAAATACATGCAACACTCAAAATATATATACTAGAGTTGGCTTCCTACATCATAGAGGAAGAAAATGAATTATAATTCTTACCTTTGCACCCACACTTTTTTCTTCCTTCTCTTTTTTTTTTTCTTTCCTTCTTGTTCTGGTTCTCGCCGAAAATGTCTAAGTAAGACTTCTTACTTCTCTCTCTCTCTCTTTTTTATTTTATTTTTATTTTTTGCATGTCTTCCTAAGTGGAGACTTCCATCATTACTTACACACACATACACATATATCCATACATATATTTTCTTATATAATGTATAAGTATATATACTTATATTTATATGTCTACTTTTTCTTTATATGCATATTTATACATAGACATGTGTGTGTATATATATATATCCAAATTATTGATCACCCATTAAATTCGTATTTTAGACCCTTAACCACTCCTTGTATATACTAACACATTTTATCTTAATAACAATAAATTGATGTCACATGCTTTCCACCCAATTAATTCCACATGCGCTAGCGTACATAAAATAATAAACTCATATCTGTCAATATTCTTATTTAACTTTTCACACTTGAATAAAATAATTCTCCATATAATCATTATTTTTAAATTATTTTTGAATATTAAAATATTCATTGTTTAGGTTCAGGTTTCATATCATTACTTGTAATTAAATACTGGTTGTCACTCCTACGGATGAATGTCACATATGAGTATGCTTATTAAAAATATTACATGTTTGTCATGCTTGTTCAGGTTTTAAAATTTTTTCTTATTTAAGAATTTTGTCCCCAAATTTCGACTTATCAATTTGAAACAAGTAAATATATATATATTTTGCGTTTTTAACTATTTTAATTTTAGATATGATGACTAAAATAAGTACTTGTCTCTAAACTCCCGACATAAAATAGAATGCCTAATAATTTTTTTCGGGTCTCACATGCCATCCAACGGATCCCTATCTCAATTCATAGTAGGAAATCATCCGTGCATCTTGCTTTCTTTTTTCTTTTTTCTTTTTTCTTTTTTCTTTTTTCACTTCGGTGGAATTTGGTAGGGAAAACGTGGAAGAGCCTTTCTCTCTCCTCCTCTATCTCTTCGTTTCTAAAAAAACCTTACTGAGCACCTCTTATCTTAATTCCCTTTTCCCCTTATCCCCTATTTCTAAAAGCCTGTTGGGTTGAACTGACGGATTAGACTTCCTTTGCAGCTCAATGGGACTCCAGATACATTGGACTAGTAGCATGAGTTTCCCCATCCATCAACGACCCTTCTTTTGACTTTCCATCTCCAGCTTGAGAACACCAATCAACAGAATCTTTCACCCCATCCATCATACCACAATTTCCCGCCTCCAAAATTGGGCACACACCTTCATTGTTTGCTATACAAACTATTGAATTTGGGAATCCAGCTATCCACTCCACGTTTGCACATACCCTGTCCACGTTTGACTGGGGATTGGGCCATGAATGCATGGCTTTGCTTGAGCAAGGGTCCACTCGCTCGAAGGGATAAGTTTTGAGCATATTTGATGGGATGACAATCGATGTGCTTTGATACGAGTGCAGACAATTAAATGCTAAGGTGTGACTCAAATTCTTTAACCATTATCAGCGCAGGTATAAATACCTCTCAGGAAGTTGAACAAAGGTACGAAATCTAAATTCAGAACATACACTGTACTAATGACTCCCATACAGACTGACTTGAGTTTTGGAAGGGATTAGTAAGGTGTTTATCTGTCTTTGATTGTTTCAGATTTACCATCCAGTGGATCGCTTTCTCAATTCATCGCAGGAAATCATCTGTTCATCTTGCTTTCTTTTTCCTTTTTTCACTTCAGTGGAAGTTGGTAGGGAAAACGTCGATGAGCCCTTATCTCTCCTCCTCTGTCTCTTTGTTTCTAAAAATACCTTACTAAGCACCTCTTATCTTAATTCCATTTTCCCCTTATCCCCGATTTCTAAAAGCCTGTTGGGTTGAACTGACAGATTAGAAAAAAAAACCATCTCTTCCTTTGCAGCCCAATGGGACTCCAGATACATTGGACTAGTAGCATGAGTTTCCCCATCCATCAACGACCCTTCTTTTGACTTTTCATCACCAGGTTGAGAACACCAATCAACAGAATCTTACACCCCATCCATCACACCACAATTTCCCGCCTCCAAAATTAGGCACACACCTTCATTGTTTGGGCAAGCAATTAATTCCTCCTAACAAATTTGGTAACCCCTGAGATAGCTCTGTTGATATCGGGATCTGGGATATCCAATCCCAAATTAATAGGATCACCCTCCTTCGACTCATGCTCAACTCCTTCCTCCACCGTGGTTGGGTCACCGGCTGGACATAAATCACTATTAGTCTCCACGGGAGAGTTTTCCATCGACTTCTGACTATACGACTTCTTTGTTTCCACCACAAGAAATTGTACTTTTAGCCGTTAGATTTAAATTACAGCTAAAAATGTTGACACTAAATACATATTTTTAATGACAAAAAATTATTATTGCCACTGAGTATATGATATTCAAATTATTTAGTAATCATAATTATTGATTGCCACTAAAGATATATAACTAGTGGTGAAAAATTATAATTGCCACTGAAGATATAGTAGTAAATATAGTTAGTGACAATTTGAATGTTGCGGCAAAAAATACATCACTAATTCGCCACTAATTCCAAATATTCAGTGACAGCAATTAAAATTTAGTCACTAATTAAATTTAAATTTTTAGTGTTAAAAAATAATTATTGTTACTATATATAATATACTAAATTTAATGAGTTACAGTTTTATTGTCGTGGCTAAAAGCTAACTATTTGTCATTAATTCTTGAAGGAAAAATAATTTAATGGCAACAATTTTTTTTATCACTAATAATCCAGATAAGCAATTATTTTTTTTACTGCACCTGATTCTTAGCACTCCCGTGGTTTTTGCGTGAAACTTTATATACGAGCTCAGTTCACATATAGCTTACAATGTTTGGATTATGAGAAATTAGGTATTAAGCTACTGCTTCAAATTAGCTTCGTATTCGTTTGCTGATTTCTCTCTCTCTCTCTCTCGATCGATCGATTGTGGTCAAGTGATTGATTGAAGTGTCTTTTTTTGTTATGCAGCTGTTTTGGAATTCAGATTTGTTCGAGTTGTGAATTGTATCGAATCAGAAGGTAGTGAGTATAATTAAAGATATAGGTTAGTCGGTGTTTAATTGTGGTACTAGGATGCTTTTTATGGCTGGTTGTGTATGTCTGCTCTTTTTGTAAATGCGACAGTGATTAATTGATGCTACCTTGTGCCCTATATATGGTGTTTATGCTAAGTTCAGGCATCAAGAGCAAGGCTTTTCAAGGAATACAAAGAGGTTCAGAGGGAGAAAGTGGCTGATCCAGATATTCAATTAGTTTGTGATGATTCCAACATATTTAAATGGACAACCCTTACTAAGGTATGTATGCTTTTGAATTTGGATTGGTGGAGAAGATTGATTGTACTATGGTGTTGCTTGACTTTGTTGTGTTTTCAGGGGCCATTAGAAACACCTTAGGAAGGTGGCGTTTTCCAGCTTACTTGATTTTTTTTTACCATCCTTGAATTTCTTAAATAAGAGGTTTGGTAGTCAATCCTTGCCAAGGTCTGAATTTCTTAAATAGGGGTATTCTATGATGCCCTTTATTCAGGCTTCTATCTGGCTCCTCTTTCAATGTGTCCTGCTTTGCTTATCACCCACCAAGTCTTTATTTTTTCTTTGATTGTGTGTTTGTTTGATAAACATCTTTGAAAGTTAATGAAGATTGGCCGGACATGTGTGGTTATTCTTATGTATTGGTGTCCACTGGTTTTCCTTTTCGTTGAATGTTTTCTTTCATTCCTCATGCCTAAAATTTGAGGACTGCAACGCTACCATAGATCCAGATTACCAGACTTACAAAGCTGCAACCTCTTGATTTTTAATGCCATGCCTTGTGAATTATGTTCCACCAAACCATTAGGAAAAAAAACAGAGGAGAAGCAGTAAGACTATTATTTTCAGCAATGTTTTCAAGGGTGTGTAGCTCCATATTTTATCAATGTCATGGTGGTTAATGAAGATATTCTGCAGGAGGTGGTCTTAATGCAGGTAAATCTTAGAACAATCATTTTGTTAGATATCCCTTCAATTAATATGTAATCCTTATAGGGTCACTTGTTTCATTTCTTCTACACTTTGTGTGAATTCAGGGGAGTTGCAAGGGTTGGGGAACACTTGAGCTTTGAAGCATGCATGGATATTATGGGTATTCTCTATGAAAAGGAGGAGACGTCTGTTCTTTATAGTTCTTCCCGTTCTCTAGTTGCATGCATATTGGCAAGTTCTCTAAAATTTTCTACATTTACTAAAGTAATCTATTGCATTTTCCCCTTGTTTTTCTTTCTTTTAAAAGAGTTCTCAATCCTTTGCAGGTTGCATCATATGTTATTCCAATAAGTTATGGTAGTGTGAGTTGTTTTTACATGTCTATTGCACTTCTGTGATTAGCTATACACATGTATACATGCATATTTATTTAAAAATTTTCAATTAATGTTTAATTTATGATAGCGTGATCTCGAGATTGAAGAGCAGCCCAACCATTACCAAGTTTAGTATAAAGATGAATGCTTGGGCTGGCAGGAGATCAGGAGAAGTCTATGTAAGTTATCCTATCCTTATCCATTTCCTTGAAATATTTTATTTTCCATCATAGACCAATATTGATGAAAGCTCTTTTTACCCGGTTCTCAATTTGATTATTTGGTAAAAATAATTGTTGTATTTGGGGCTAACTTCAACATCCCCAAGTTAACTTCAATTATTGTTTTACTTTGTTTTTGTTGTTTGCTAAATTTACGAATGTTCTGTTTAGGATTGAATTGCTTTAGATATAATGGATTGTTACAAAAATTCTTATGTCATCTGTGGTTGATTGTTCATATGGTAGATAAATTCCTATTTGATCTATGTGATCTATGGTTGATTATTAATATGTCATACTCTTTGTGCTTCCTATTAATGTTAAGTAATTTTTGTTAGGTACAAATTAGTGGAAGCTCTGAAAACAGCTTTGGAAGGCTACCCTCCAAAGACTAAAGACCATAACCTTTCAAAAAAAGACTTTATAATGATTTGTAGTTGTGACTCGAGACTTTATGATGATTGTTATGAAATTACTTTCTTTTGAGTGAGTATCATTGTGTAGTTGCAACGACAATTTGAAATTGTGATCATAACAATTTTTGTTCATTTATATTCTTTGATGATGATACGTTGTACACATGCAATTTAGTGATACTAATATCAGAAGATTATTTTCGCATGATTTGATTTGAAAATTATATCTTTGAAATTGAGTATTTATTATGTTGTTTGTTTCCTCATTAGGTATATATATATATATATTAAATTATTTATGTGAAATTGGAAAATATTCAACAATAAATTCTTTCAAGTATGTGATAGGTTTTTTCTATTAATTTCAATGTATTAACCGTGACAATAAGTTGTCACTAAAAACATATTCTAAATTTTAGTTATAGGTAAAATGTATACTTTTAATTGCAATTACTTGTTGCCACTAAAAGTCAAATTTTAATTGGTTTTTTAGTGGTGACAAGGTACATTTTAATGGCATTATGGTAATTTGTTATAATAATTATTGCGGTTAAATATTTCATATTTAATAACATTTTTCATGTTACGGCTAAAAAATTTGTTTTTAGTGGCAACAAATTAAATGTTGTAACTAAATGATTTAGCAACGGACATACAGCCGTAACCTAGTGGCAATAAAAAAGTTGTTACTAAAATATATATCGATAATTTTTATACATTTAACCATCATAATGCTTGCGGCTAAATGACAAATTTCTTGTAGTGGCCATTGAAACAGGCAATCGAGAACCAAACTGTTACGAGTCTTTTGTAGAACCGCTTGCTGATTCCAGTTTTAAGGGACACTCTCTGTCCCATGACCAAAACATCCACAAAAATAGCATATATTAGATAGTCTACTATATTTGAAGAAACATTAATGTTATTGGGATATAATTAAATGATATAATTTGAGAATATAATGAATTGTCACTAATGAAATGATAATAAAATGCATTTAATGATAGGTCCCGTTTTAACTTTAATGAATTCATTACCATATCATTGGTGACAACTCTTTATGTCCTTAAATTATATTCATAAATTATGTCCAAATAGTATTACTCTTGAAGAAAATCATGGACTTTTCACCCTATTTAACCATTAGATTCATCCCTCTGATGATTTTCACACGAACTCTCAAGCATCTTCCCCAACCCACTCCTTCACATATCAAGTTAGCATCCATAAAACGACCTATGTTGTTGCCTATTGTTTCTGTCGTTGCTTGGTTCATTCTATTGAAGGGAAGATTAAAAATTTGAACCCAGAAAGGGCACCAATTAAAGCAAACAGTAGAGGCTTCAGTCCTTCCATCATACTCCTTTAACTGGATATCAAAAGACCATCGTATGCTCTCAAGTACTCCAACAAGCTATCAAACTGAATAATGAACAAGTTATCACCGGCCTCTATGAAAACCGCATTAGTAATGTTCCAAACCAACCTCAAAAGTGTTTTTGCATGCCGCCTTATTGTATGGCTTCGTTGACAACACCTTCCCGAATAAACTTAATCTGCCTTTCTCCATTGATGTTCTGTCTCCAAGATCCGAAATACTCACGCTAGAACTCTTCTCTTCTGAAAGAGAGAATTTCCTCCATAACGGAAGAATCTCCTTATCCATTATTACATCTAATAGATCACACCCCCTGCTGAAAGGAATTTCCAGCAAACTAGATGCCAGAGAATTAGTGAAACGCTTCAAGACCTACACAACCAAAAGAAACAAGAAGACAAAAACGGATTAAAAAAGCAAGAAAAAAGATAGATGGAAGAAGTACTTCAAACCCACAGCCCGATGCAGACGATCGAGATTATGTTCCCACCCAACCTCTACATGAGAGAAATAGACACAAGGAGAAAACCTACACTTTCATTAGGAGATCCTAAGAAAACCAATACTCTGACATGCAGAGAGAGAAACCTCTACCCCCTATTTTTAATTTCATTATAGATGAAGTTTTGATCAATTTATTTTTGACTTATTTTTTTCAATTTATATAAAACGTAATTTTCATGCAAAAACATATTTGTAAACTATGTTCATTTTTACTTAAGACTTTCTTTCTTTACTTTTTTCAAATAATAACAAAATGTTTAGCTCACGGATTCAAAACCCAATTTACTAATAAGAATTGAGTTAGAATAGTGTACCCACTGAGTGAGCTACTCTATTAATGGTGCGAGGCTGAAACAAAAGAAT